TCCTGCTGAAGCACGGTCCGTTGCCGACGGGTGTCACGGGCGTAGTATCTCGAGAAGTGAATTGCGACCGATCACTCGGAGAAGGCGAGTGATTGAGTGGCGGCGGGCTGTCTTCGAGTTCTAACATAGACTTTCGAGAAACGACGTCGACGGTGGTTTCGGGTGAGGAGACCGAGCGAGGTTGTCGTCGCTGGGAGGTGAGGATCGAGGTGGGAATGGGCGGTGACGTTAGACGTGACCAGGTCGGCTTCGGAGTACCCGACTGCGAAGGTGCGGCGAGAAGCGAGGCTGGAGACGTCGATGTGTACAAAGGAGCGACGGCGTAGTGGAGATGCTGTGTGGTCAATGGTTGGCACTCGCAGGTACTCGTAGAACGGCCTACAAGATAACTGTTGGGGGCTCTGGGATGTGACGTGAGGGAGAAGAGTGTGAACAAGTTCCAAGTGACGAGAAGGTCGTTGCTAAAGGTACAGTACGGGTTCGTGTACGGGCATAGTGCCATGCAAGTCGAGTCGGAACGACCAGTGGCTCCCCTCGAGAATGGGCACTCTCGGCTTCCACATCCTTGCCTCCCAGGCTCCTCTGCATCAGCAGCACCACGTCAAAGTTACAACCCGCATCCACAGCTGCAACGCCGGGGCCTGTGCTTGGCCCGATTCCCGGTGGCCCCTCGCCAGTGGGACTCCTGGTTCTCGTCGCGCTCGACGCCGGACTAATGGCTATTCTCGAAGGGCACGACCACCGCTGCCTACGTCGTTGTACGGAGCAGATCTACCCAGTATGTGCGACAGCGGCTTATCTCACGCCATCAAGTCCCAGACGAACGTATTGGTGCTGAGGATCGACCTTCACTCTAAAGAAGTTGAGGCTAGGCGCGACACTATGGTTAATGCGGGATCCCTCGCGTCAATCGCCTTTCCCTCGATTCCTTGACTCCATGACAACGAGTCAAAACCGGTGCCGCTTCGTTATGCCGGAGAGTTCAGAGATCTCATCCCCGACAATCAGGCTCAACAATTATTGTCAGTCAGACTCATGGTTATTGTCTGTCGCCGTGGGCGCATGGCCACCTGGATTCTGGCAGCCTCGTCGAAGATGCAGATAACCAGGAATACTGGTCAGTGATCAGCACCCGGGGCCAGGAGAGTATGCCGTCGTCGCTTAGCTTACCGCTCGACCATTCTGTCTCCCAAGGTGACTCGTACCATCAGTTTTGCTGGTCGGAGATTTGGGGGAGGAGCACTGGCAAGGTGAGGCCGGCTCATGACCACATCCTCTGCAGTCATGATTGGCGACCATTCAACAACCTCGTCAGTGTCGTCCAAACTTCTGGATGTATCTGTTTGCACACCGCTGAGCCACGGTTTCCAGGCCGAGGGCGGTCTCAGGTTTGCCGGGCGCCTGGAGTAAGACTGGCCTCGGAAATTCCTGGCCGTGTTGCTCTCGTAACAATAACACGAAAACCATCAGAGAGGAGCCGGACAGAACCGATTCTCGTGAGGTGCAAATGTAACTTTCCCACGCTTTGCCTCATGAGGGTTCCCGACCCAGGAGCTTGAACCATAAGTCGCAGGGGTGCGGGTCACCCAGAGGGCCCATCGGCCGCCTGTGGCATGGCGCCGCGAGGTGTGTGCCACTGGTGGCCTCTGAGCGATCCTTGTCAAGCCCGTTGTCGCTAGCCCTGCCCTGTCCTGCTCAAGCGGACAGGGCCCTGGAGCCTCCACTGGCGCCGGTTGTCGGTCAAGTTGCGTCTTGGTAACTGCCCGTGGGTGGTACTCGTAAGGAGTCTCGAGCGCGCATCTGCGCCTTGGATTTCCGGCCAAAGGGCGTGACACCTCAGGACCCTGTACCTGAAGCATTCATTTCTCGACAAAGCCTAATTACTTACTGTAGAACACCGGTTGTCCCGGTCACGCCCACGCCCGGACTACAAGATGCAGCTGCAGGTGCTTTGCTACCTCCTGGGTAGTCTTGATAATAATGGCAAGGGACCGTTGCCGAAGGCGACATTTCGTGGCGTCGCATGGACATCCATGTGGCTTCTCGAAGCCCCAGGCGGTGGACACCAGGATGGAAAATCGCGGCCGTTGTCTGACCACGGCCATTTCAGCGTCCCTCGACCCAACAGTCTCACATCCCCTCAATTACCGGGAGATGAGAAACTATTGGGGACGACTTTCTACTCGAATCGGAAATACGGCTGTTATTTCTTGCTTGCTTGCAGGATAAGCCGTCGATGGTGTTGGAAATGTACTCGTAATGGTCTCTGATGCAATGTACTCCGTACACTCTTAGCGAAATCGTCTTTGCTGATCTCATAATGCAGGCGACACATGGGGCGGCTATGGCTGCCGTTCAGCTACTGGCAACAATTGGTTGGACACTGACGAATTGCTGAAGACTGCCAACACGACGGTTCTTTGTGGACGAGAGTGCCCGTATTATTGAAGAATATTTGCGAGCTTGTTCTGCCCTGTCATGCTCCATCGGACCGAAGCCGATCGACTGCCAGAAGCTGCGTACGAGTCTGCCCTTGCTTATTGACACGGTTTGCATCGATATGCGTCTGGTGGCCGCGTCGCTAAACAGCGCCCTACGGAGCGTACATGTGATAGGTCCCTCACGTCAAGGCTGGCTATTGAGGAACACTTTTCAGACAATCCCTCCCCAATTTTCCGGCGTAAGGGATTCGATGGTGGTGGAGTGCCTCATTGGAGCATCGATGATCGTTCCCATGAGCTCGGTCGGCTTCCCAAGACCAGCAAGTGGGATGCAGTTCGCGTGCATATCAATCCCACGCTATGACCCAATCGTGCGCAATAATGGAGTAGGGGCACCAGATTGAGAATCGTGAAGCAGACCATCAGTGGATGTGATGGATCTATCGAGTATGAGTCTCGTACTCGTAGGATCAAAGAGTCTGGGTTTCACTTGCCTTCCTCACCTTCTCGCCCGTTCACCTGAACCCTGCGGAGCTATCCTGTCTCAATAGCCTCAATGCGTCGATGAGTAATGGAGCTCTTGGTTCTCGTTTACCGATCGCTCAAAAGGCGGTGGCCAATGCCACGTGAATTACCACTCACGTCAGTGGGACAATGCCCGTCAACGCCTGTTACAAGTACAGAAGGCTCATAAGGCTACATCAGCTCTGCCCCAATGAAAACCCTTCGGAGCCTTCACATATTATGGGTACCTCGTAGTGCCGAGGCTCGTGCGATCTAACAGCGGCCAGAAGAGAAACCGGGAGCGTGAGGGATTTCGGCACAGCCTTGCGTAGCCTGGCCGGCCGGTGTCTCGTACCAAGTCAATTCCCGAGGGGCGACAACTGAACTTTGGGGTCGTTGCCCGCCGAAGCCTTGTTCAACTGACCGCTCGGAGATAATCCGCTCGACAGAAAAGCTTTCACCCATGCCCACTGAGTCGAATGCAAGGGGCGGGTCCCTGGTGATCTAAGTCCACACGTGGACCGGGACCGGGAACGCCACTGTCATGCCCTGTGGTGATTGCAAGGGACTCATAGATGGTGCAGGCTACGAACAGCTTACGTACATTTAGACGCTTCAGAATCTCCTGTCTTCACGACTTGATCCGTCCCAATAGACATCGTTCTGGTTCCAGGATCGAGCTGGATACTCATGCCTCGTTAGTGAAGGCGCCGGTCACTGACGGGCCGTTTCGCAGGAAAAATTTGGAGTGCTGCCGGCCTACTCTATGTGACTTCAAACTCGTGGGAGGTGAGGTGAGGTGATGTCTAATTCCAACAACAGGGAAAGCGCAGTGGCTTGTTGCAGTCATGCATCAACTGATTCGTCCATACGTACTCGTCCCTTGAGAAGGGTTTGTCAGGCTCAGCAGCGTGGGAAGTTCGGATGATTTGGTCCGAGCCAACTCTGCCATATGGGTGGGTCGTTGTGTGCCAAGGCCTTCTGGAAGCTGTGGAAGTCGTCGAAGGCGAACTCGTAGAGGACATGGAAGCCGGAGAAGGTCAGCTGGGTGTCAGCCGGCTCTTGCGCTCTGCATGCCTCGCTGTTGTGGCTGGGAGCATGATCTGGTCAGCAAGTGGAGGCTTCAGGCTTCAACTCGATGAAATGCTCCTATTCGTTTGCCACTGGACACTGTGAGACACATTTGATCGATCCCCTCATCTGGTGGCGTACAGTGACAACCCGGCGACATTTCAGCTGCGAAGAGCACGGAACACCGATACTTGATCGAGACACAAGCCCGGCAAACAAAGTCAAACCTCGGCTGGCGTCTCCTAGAAGAGCCAACAGCCTTTGTGGCGGTTGCCTCCGCCGGGCCCTACAGCATATTCCGAGTCGATGTCATTACCTGATCCTCAGAAAGTTGACGTGCATGACCATCGGCTTGAAATTCAAAGAGTACGCTTCCTCACCCCAGCACGACGACAAGGCCCTGCCACCTCAACACAGAGATCTTACAAGGGCATGATTGCTGACCCACAAAGCAACACAACGACTCCTGCTCCCTCTTGGCATGTCCCGTGACGTCTTCCCTTTCCTGTTGCCTCCATGTCCCTCTTATTCTCGTTCAATGAAGATCACACGTCGCCACCGACCTTCCAACCTCGTTCCTCGCTTCTGCCCAGAAGGCCTCAAGATGCCAACCAACCAAGTGAGACACCGTTACGGCAAAGCACACCTGGCACCTCTCCTTCCGCCGCTTAAGACTTCAGAATGAGCATGTCCCCCTCATTTTCGCCGGCCGAATTAGCAGAAAAACTCTCCCTTGGGGCTGGAGATGATTCGGCTTGGTTGATTTGGCTGATCGGCGATGGAGGCAGAGCAATGCTGGCTGCCACGAAGCCCAGCTCCTGGTGGCAGTGAGGGCAGGACGAGGTCAAACTTTGCCGGTAGCGGATGTACCTCTGAAGGTTTTTCAAGGCCATGTAGCCATGCATGGCACTTGGGAACGAATTAGCCACGCTGCATGCGTATTGCGACTGTCGGATGTGTTGGTTGCTCACGCAGTGGGTAGACTCACCAGGCGACCAGAGTTCCAATCGATGCATAGGCCATCAGCAATACCGGTAAATGACGCCAACCACCATCTCGTGAGATGGTCTCGATGGTGCTGCACACGTATAGAGACAAGAAGGCAAGAACACCGACGCTGTCGGTTCCCCAGACAAGCAGCGAAGGGCTCCGTCTGTGGACATCGTCGTTCGTCAAGGCCAGACGGTGTGGCCTAACCTTGGACAGGAGGACTAACATATTGAAGATGACGGAGACACCAAGAATCGAGCCGACGACGATGAATAGAACCTCCATACTAGCAAAGCTGAGGGCTAAAGCAACTGCGTTGTTCAGCAGAAGCAGGAGACGGACGGCGGTCTCGAGATCCCATGGCTCTGTGGGCTTGCTGGAGGAACTCATGTTGCGGCAGGAAAATATTGGAGATGAAGGCAGATAACGTTCGCGAATGAAGAATGTTAGGAATGACAGAGCAAAAGGGAGGAGGGTGTGGTGACAAGTCAAGGGGTTTCAATGCTGTGGTCGTGTCTTATATGACTTGACTGCCATGTTTACTCCAGGCGTTGAACGAGGCTGTGTAGGGAGGATGAAACGCGGTTGCCTGTCCAATATCTGGAGTGGAGTGGAGAGCCCATACTCGTTGTGTCCAACTACTGGCTATGCGGACGAGAAGCCAACCTGTTTCAGGTACTGGGATAGTCTGGTCATAATCCTTCGGGTCGGTCAGGCCAGCCGAGATCCAATGGCAACAATCCCTTTGGGGGCCATTGACCGATGCTGGGGCACTGGGACGCGTGTTGTGATGCCGAACAGAGTAGCACGCTGAGATTTCTTGGGAGACGTGCTTGTACTGTACGAGGACGAGTACTGGGTACATTGTAGTCCGTACTCCATACACAGGGCTGCATTGACATCGGGTCTCAGATCCTGCATGGCCTGCCACCATCCTGAAGCGACCACTATCTATGACTGAGTCGTGACCAACCGCGCGCGTGGGAGACATCTAGTCGTAGAAGAAAGTAGGAACCTTGCCAGATGTTGCTGTCGAATTTGCCCATCTCGGCATACACGATATTATACGGTCACATATTCCGTATTGTGTACGGAGTAGCTGACATCGGGGTACTTACTACCTAGAGGTACCTACGGTAGGTACCTGGAGCTTGTGCTTGCTTGTATCGTACCTAGAATCCGGCGCCAACCAGCGCCTAAACCAGCCCGGACCAACCTCGGGAAAATGTTGTCGGCTTGGCGAAACTTCAAGACGTTTGACCCCACAAACTCGCTGCACGTCATCAATTTTGCCCTCACCATCATGGCACATATCATGCGCAATTCTTAACATCGTTCTTGGAAATGCTGGGTCATTAGATCTCGGCAAGCCCTTGACGACGGAGGAGAGCACTTCGCACAGCGAGAACAGTGGTAAGTTCTCAGCGATGGATGAAACTGCAGCAGGACAGCCTCCTCAATCTGAGGGCGACATGACTTCGTATGGTGCCCCTGCCGACATCGCTCTGCCAGAACCAGCAGACGCCGCGTCACCATCCGCTAAGCGCAAAATTACCGAACTTGATGGCTCGGCAGAAAACAACGGCAGCAAGCGAAGGAAGGGCACAGCGCCGGTCAAAGAAGAGTTTCTAGTCAAGGCCGACGACTTGATCGAGTCGAAACCCGCACGTGACGAAGCCGACGACGATGCCGCAGAAGCCTTTCATCACCAAGACAGACAGCTGAAAAGCCAGAACAGCAAAGGCAAACGCCGTGAGAAGAAGTCAGGTCAAAACAAGGCTCGTGACTTTGGAAGTTCAAGGGACGAGGTAGGCTTGTGTTCCACCCGTGTTCACAGACCTGAGTTCTCCCCCGATTCCTGTCCGTTCGGGGACAGTTGTCGCTTCGAGCATGATCTACGGAAATACCTGAGCCAGTACAAGCGGGAAGACCTGTCTACATTCCACGGCGTTTGTCCTGTTTGGGAGGTCAAGGGAAGATGCCCGGCCGGGTGGAAATGTCGCTTCATCGGTTCGCATTCTACCGAAGTCGAACACGGTGATGGTCGGAAGGAATTGGTCCTGGTCCACAATGCCGATCAAATGGTGAAATATGCTCAGACTTCGTCGGAGGAGGAAGAGGTGGGCGTCGCGAACATCCTAACGTCGCAGCAGAGGATTCAGCTCACCAAGAGGAAGGTGCCGACACCTAGATCAGACGAATTTCTCAGCTGGCTCGACGAGCGAGCTCAAAATCCAGCGGACCAAGGTCGAAACCGCCGACCAGGAAAGGGCTCACGCAGGCCCGAATCTTTACGCAATTCCTCCTCTCCTGAACCGGAGACTCTCCAGGATGAAATGGATGGAAACGCTGCGCAGGATTCAAGAGCTACATTTCTGGAAGCTCCCCTGCGGCCATCAGAGAAGCGTCGCTTATACTTTGGCCCGGAGACGCCAATTCTCGCTCCGCTAACGACACAAGGCAATTTACCGTATCGGCGCCTGTGCACTTCGCTTGGGGCAACGTTCACCTACTCCGAGATGGCCATGTCACTTCCTCTTCTGCAAGGTCATAAATCTGAGTGGGCCCTCATGAAAGCTCATGAGTCGGACGTCCAACCACCGACCTTTACGATCAAAAGCCGGGAAAATATTGTCTTCGACTATGACCAAACGAAAGATCTCTGTTTCGGGGCCCAAATTGCCGCAAACAAGCCTTGGCTGGCAGTCAAAGCAACCGAAGTCCTTACGACTCTCTTGCCAAAGGGTTTGCGCGTGGTTGACCTCAATGTTGGTTGCCCTATCGATCTGGTCTACCGGGAGGGTGCCGGTTCGGCATTGATGGACTCGCCGCCCAAGCTCGAAAAGATGCTACGAGGAATGAACATGGTATCGGGGGAGACACCTGTCACAGTGAAGATCCGCACGGGCACAAAGGATAAGCAGCCAACCGCCCAGAAACTCGTTGACCGACTCGTCCTTGGTAGTGGGAATGGTGATTCTTGTGGTGTCGCTGCCATTACGCTCCACGGACGCTCGAGACAACAGAGATACACTCGTTCCGCAGACTGGGAGTACATCACCGACACGGCTTCGTTGATCAAAGCGCTCAACGCAAAGGCCGATGCTATGGCCGACACTATCCACGAGCCCGAGGAGCGGGATCAGCCCAATGGGCACAAAGGTTCAAAGAACGGGAAAGTCTTCTTCATTGGAAATGGCGATGTCTTTTCTCATGAGCATTACTACGACCATATCCAGCACGCCGGGGTGGATGGGGTGATGGCAGCGCGTGGAGCGCTCATTAAACCGTGGCTATTCGAGGAGATTGCAGCAGGGCAATACCTAGACAAATCGTCTTCAGAGCGGCTACAGATCGTTGAGCGGTTCGTCAGATACGGCTTGGAGGCGTGGGGCAGTGATGAATGGGGTGTAGGACAGACGCGACGGTTCTTGCTGGAGTGGCTCAGCTTTGCCTGTCGATATGTGCCGATCGGCCTCCTGGAGTATCTGCCGCCCAATATTCAGGATCGACCGCCACGGTTCCGAGGTCGGGATGAGCTCGAGACATTGATGGCAAGCGACAACTACAAGGACTGGATCAAGATCAGGTAAGGACTCGAGCACCATATTCTCTGACCGGCGGCTGACGACGATGACAGTGAGATGTTCCTGGGACCAGCGCACAGAGACTTTCGATTTGAGCCCAAGCACAAGTCCAATAGCTACGAGATCCAAGCCGAGGGCTGAAAGGGCCAGTGAGTGAGTGACAGCGGCAGTAACAGTGGGCGAGCCCGGGACTCGTCAGACAGCCGTCCGGAACAGATGTGCCGCGTGGCCTGAACATAAGGACTGGGCTGGTCGAATCGGAATCAAAGCATCAGGGACTTCTACTCGGTACCTCAGCCATCTCGACCAGCTTCAGTTGATTCCCCGACATCCAGCTGTCGGCTCCCCAGGCCTGCCACGCACGGTCGATTCGTAGCAAGTCTTACATAACCGTAAGACACTCCGTAAGCATGCGCATTCGGGGTACGACATACGGAGTACATACGAGGACACACGATGCGGCGGCCACGGATAAATCCTCCACCCGGCCTTATTGGTCATTACATGCCTCCTCGGTCTCATGCCGATCGTAGTGAGCAAGGGGGTTCGACTTGTTACTGTAGGAGGTCGTATATCCTCTGAACCCCCGAACGGCTATTGCGAGGCTCTTTCGGTGTAGTGCTTACCTCGGCCCAGCGTTTCATGTGCAGAGGCCCAAACCGCTTTCCCTTCGTGGCGGAGGACGTTGTCTCGTCAGGACTGCCATGGGCAGCGTCACTCTATGCAGGCGGCTCGTCCTGCCTTGGACGTCGCTTGGCGCGCCTCCATGCTTCAAAAGGACAGACTCGTCAAGCTCAGAGAGCGTCGAATTTTGCTGGTGCACTTTCGCTTTGCTAACCCTCTTCGAAACCAGCTCGCGTCCCTCTACTTGGGCACTGTTATCCGAGGCAGCATCAAAGTCGAGCTCGAGCGTAGAAGGACTGAGGCATAATGTCGCAGACGGGAACCATTTCGAGCCTTGCTTCCCTACCGTCACCTCGAACGCCCGCTCCTGATGGCGACGTCTTCAGCACCGACCAATGGGACATCCTGTTCTCGATTGTCGAGGTGTTCATACCGTCTATCCCCGCCTCGGAAATCGATGCGGCTGTCTCTGAGCTGAAACCGTACTTGCCAGAGGATGCCTCCGAGGAGACGGCGAGAGCATATCTGTCCGAAGATGCAACCAAGAGCGACGTCTTCAGAGATGCCGTCGTCCGAAAATTCAAGCTTCACGTCCCACCTTCAGATGTACAGGGCCTGGCTTTCGTCCTTTCCCTGTTCAATACGAGACTGGGCTCCTATCTGCTCACCGGCTACACGACGCCGATCCACAAGCAAGACCTCGAGACCCGCACCAAGATCGTCTGCCAGTGGTCCCGCGCGCGACTGCCTCTCCTTCGCGCCATCTACAGGTCGCTGAATGGACTGGCTAGGCAAGTCTGGCTCGCCACTTCAACCAGTCTACCAAGGCTGCTTGACTTCCCAGCTACTCCCAAACACATCGAGCGCAACCCGAGCTACGAATTCAAGTTTCACGACTTTACCTCTCCGTCAACTTCCACGACACTGTCCGCCGATGTGGTGGTTGTCGGCTCTGGCTGTGGCGCCGGGGTGGTGGCGTCCCATCTGTCTCGCGCCGGATTGAAATGTATAGTTCTCGAGAAATCCTACCACTTCCCTTCGACGCATTTCCCAATGTCCCATGGCGACTCGGGCGAGCACCTCCTGGAGAACGGCGGCATGATAGTCTCCGACGACGCGTCCATGGGGATCCTGGCAGGGAGTACCTTTGGCGGCGGCGGCACGATCAACTGGTCAGCTTCCCTGCAGCCTCCATACGCTGTCCGCGAGGCATGGGCATCCGACGGTCTGGCGCACTTCGTCGGGCCCGAATATCAAGACTGTCTGGACACCATCTGCGAACGCATGGGCGTGGCCAAGTCGACGGACCTGGAGGCCCTCGGGAAGATCGAGCACAACTTTGCGAACCAGACGCTCCTGGAAGGCTCGCGCCGGCTAGGCTTGGACGTCCGGATCGTGCCCCAGAACACGGGGTCCAAACGGCATTTCTGCGGCTACTGCACGCACGGCTGCGCAGGTGCGACCAAGCAAGGTCCTGCGAACTGCTGGTTCCCCGACGCCGCGGCCCACGGCGCTCAATTCATCGAAGGCTGCTGGGTCGAGGAAGTCACTTTCGCAGACCAACAACCCGGCGGCGCCGCCACCGCCACCACCACCACCACCACCACCCGAACCGCCACGGGCGTGAAAGCGACATGGACGTCCCGCGACCGCGCAACCACCCGACAGCTGACCATCTCGGCCAAACGCGTCATCATCTCCGCGGGGACACTACAATCGCCGCTCGTGCTCCTGCGCAGCGGGCTGAAGAACCCGCACATCGGCTCGCACCTGCACCTGCACCCGACCAACACCGTGTGGGCGACGTGGCCACACCGCACCAACCCGTGGGAGGGCGCCATCCTGACGGCCGCGATGACGGGCCTCGACAACCTCGACGGCCACCACCACGGCGTCAAAGTCGAAGTCATATGCTCGACCCCGGGGCTCGGCCTGCTGACGGTGCCGTTCCGGGCGCACAAGTCGTTGTCGGCCCTCGATTCCCCCGCCACCGCCTCAGATCCGCTCGCCAGCGCGGTCGAGTACCGCGTCAACGCCGCCAAACACGCCTTCTCTACCGGCTTCGTCTGCATCGCCCGCGACGCCGACACGGGCCGCGTGTACCTGGACCCCAAGGACGCGTCGCGCCGCCGGCCGCGCATCGCGTACACGCCCTCGGCGCGCGACTGCCGCTCCATCCTCGAGGGCGTGGTGGCGGGTCTACGCATCGCCTTCACCATGGGCGCCATTGAACTGGAGCCCAACCACCCCGAAGCCACGCGGTGGGTGCGGCCTAGCACCACCACCACTACCAAGACGGCGCATGACGACGACGACGACGACGACGATGACGACGACGACGACGACCAGACGAGCTTCGACAACTGGATCGCCGACCTGCGCCGGCTCGGCTTCAGCGCCCCGGACCCGTGCACGGCGGGGAGTGCCCACCAGATGGGGTCGTGTCGGATGAGCGGCTCGGCGGCCACGGGCGTGGTCGACGCGCGCGGCAGGGTCTGGGGCACCGACGGCCTGTACGTCGCGGATGCGAGTGTGTTTCCCAGTGCGAGCGGCGTGAATCCCATGGTCAGCACGATGGGCATGGCCGAGTGGATTTCGAGGGGCATAGTGCGGGAGCTGAGCAAGGCACAGTAAGGAAGAAGCGTAGTATACAATGGCATCCACCTCTCGAATACAATACCAATGGTACCTGTAGCGTACACGGTAGAATAGAACGGGACGAAGGCAGCGTAGCAGATCGGATCATGTAATTCGTGCATCGCATCATCGTCATGTCATTTAGGCAGAGCCTTTGTGTGTGCCAACCAACTTGGTAGGTACATATGTCGCGCGGCCTTATACACAACGCCAGAAGTCCCGCCCGGTAAGCTGCTCACCTTTTGCCATACCCTGTTGAACCGACCCAGGCAAGTGAGACCATCCGATATGAATCCTGCTGGCAGCGCACTGGACCTATTCCATGATGATCATATCATCCCAAAACAAAAAGCACGATCCAGAAAAGCTCCCAATCCCAAGTTATACACAAGAAGCATCCCGCCTGCTCGAAAGCGCAATACCAAAACAAGCACGCTTCGACTCGGCACCGGCACCGGCACCAACCAGTACGTCTCTCAGGTGCGTCCCACTTCCATTTCTCCGGCACACTGGTTCTCGACTTTTTGTTTCGTACATCATCTCGTCTTTCTCGCCACGCCAATCCTCGTCCTCGACACTTTATCCGCAAACTTCAAGCTCGTGATGGTTTCGCTGAGACACTTCTTCTCCGGCGCAACCATGACAAACATCAGTGTCTTTGAGTTTCCGCCCAGAGAATATTGCAAGAGGTATGTCAATTTGCTGTTGCGGTAGGGGATGTGGGCGGTTGCACCAGAGGCTGAGGCCGAGGAGGAGCGGGACGGCGAACTGCCACGCGAAGAAGCGTCTCGTTTCTGTGACGAGGGTGGATGGGTTGTTTGCTGGCCCAAGGCCCCGATCACGTCGCCGAGGCAGGAGAGCGACTTGTTGATATTTTGGGTCTCTTTTAACCGTGCGCCTTCGACTTTGGAGTGCGTCAGTCTTTCGGATCCAGCGAGGTCCACCAGATTGAGCGTGCCTTTGCTCTTCTGCCCTGTGATGCTGTTGACGCCTTGGAGCTTGAGGATAAACACCGAGTGGGAGCGAGAACTGCGCTCGTTGGCCTTGGTGGCTGCTACACTGCGGCGAGCCATAGCTTGCGCCAGAATCCCTTCGACTTGATCTTGACTGTCAAGATTCAGCGTCGTGACGTCGGTGATGGTCGTCTCGCACGTGGCTGCGTCATGGATGATCTGGTGTTTCTTATTGCCCGTATCGTCTTTTCCAAGCAGATCACGGAGTTCTTCGTTGTATACTTCCACGAAACTGCCTTGCATGGTATACGACCACCCTCGGGGCTCGAGGTCTTTGCTGGTGGTGTATATCTGTCGGAGGGCACGCGGGATCATGCCATCATCAGAGGACATGGTGTAAGTCTTTCCCGAGCCAGTCTGCCCATAGGCGAAGATACAGACATTGTAGCCGTCTAGCGCAGACTGTATCAGTTGGCTGATCTCCTCAAAGATCTCATTGTTCGTCGCGGACGGGTTGAAAACGCGATCGAAAGAGAATTGGTGAGTTTTTGTCGTGACTTTGCCCAGGCTGTTCATCTCCTCCGGGCCTTTGACTTCTATGTCTTTGATCTCTTCTTCTTCGAACTCGGACTCTGGAAAGGTGATTTTGGCCGTGTCCTCGCCGTCTTCACCGACGGGTCGAACGCGGCAGAATACCCGAATGTTGCCCTTCAGTTCCTGTACTTGGTTGTGTAATTTTCTTCGAAGCATTTCTTCCTTTCGAAGCTTCTCTTGGCACTCAGCTGCTGTTGCGAGTGCTTCATTCATCCTCTGTTCCATAGCCGCATAGGCCTCTGATTGAGACTTGCTGTCGGATTCAAGGTACTCGATCTTCGCTTGCAATGCTTGTCGAGCACTTTCCATGTGCAACGCATTGTCGCCTGCGGTGGAGAGGTTTTGTCGCAGGTCGTCGTTGCGGAGTCGTTCTCTTTCGAGATCTGCTTTCACCCGCTCGATCTCGTTGTTCAGATTTCGGATCTGTTGTTCCTTTGATTCAAGGTCCAGTTGGTGTCGCTGTTTTTCTAGCGCCCCTTGTGTGGAAACTTGACTGAGAGCTTGTATCCGCTGAGTCCGTTCACTCTCGATCTCATCCTCTAGTCTTCTTTTAAGCTCGCGGATCTCGTCTCTATGCTCATCTCTTAACCGCTCCCGCTCGTCTCGATGCGTCTGGCGGATACTCTCCACTTCTATCCTGTGGGAGCGTTTCAGGTCTTCGATTTCCTCTTCTTGATCCCGTTTCAGCTCTTGCTTTGACCGTTCAGCTGCTTCGAGCTTGAACTTCGTGGTTTCGAGTTCTGTCCGCACGGCGATCAAGGCTTCTGTCGAGTCTTTCCGGTCTTGTTCAAGGCTCGCGATTGTCGACTTATATGAGGTGTTAATTTCGCTTGCTGCCATGTTGTCTTCCATGGCTTGCTTGTAATGCTTGCAAACATCTTCATACATTCGCTCGATGTTGCCATATTGTTCTTCGGGATCCCAGGCCACTAAATTAGAGTCTTTAGTCAGAAACGGTTGGCTTTTAATCTTGCGAATAGTATTGGTCCAGAGATCCTTGGGTAGTGGTGCCGGTGTGAAGATTTTCTTCGGAGTGAATGGATCTCTTGCCACCAGCGATTGCTGTCGAGGTGCGGGCGAGGGTCGGGGTAGTCGCGAAGGGCTACTGGGTCGGGTTCTTGGAGTTGGCGTCGACGGCTCCAATGACAGACCCAACAGACGCTCGGTAATTGTCGTTGTCGAGACGTTTCGGTCGAGCCGAGCACGCGGGAAGGCCACCGGTGGGGCTATCAACGGTGGCATATTTCGAGCACCTCGTTTCGGTACGACAATCGCAGATCCATTCACGGGCACACGCGCAGCAGGGATAAACTGGGGTTTAGAACTAAGGGAAACCATACATTTGCCATTGGGACCACTCTGATTATTTCCTCCTCGGGTTCCTTGCGCTGGCTCTGGCCCCGAGTCGGCGGCGGGTTTTGTTCCTCTTTCTCTTGCAAGTGAGGATTTCGGTCGGGCGAGGTGGGAGGTGGCACGTATCGCAGGAGGTTTGATGCCGCTGCCCACGCTTGCGGAGAAGGCAGATGAGGAGGAGGATGCTGAAGCTTCCCTCGAAGTGTTCGAATGGCTTCGGTATGATTGGGAGAAGGCGGCAGGATTTCGAGAATGAACGGTAGACAAGACCCCAGCACCGACAGGCGCATTGGATCTAGGAGCTGCTGCGTTGGTTTTGGTCTCACCGGCACGCTCGACCAGTGTTTTCCGCTTCGCTGACGGCTCAGGTACTGCTGCTGTCAGCGTCACCTTAGCTTTCTTTGTTTGGGCCGTGTACACACAATTAGATCCTTGTCTCTTGTGGCCGACCGTCGATGGAGGAGGCATATTGCTGCGTGAGTTGGTCGCCGCCACCGTCATCTCTGCCATGGCTCTCTGAGGTGACGCATGCCCATATCTGGTGGGCTGAGGGAGTTGAGACACGAACTGCGATGGCATGTTAGCGGATTGATGGCTGTCTGAGATGGTGTCAACATGCATTCTCAGCGTCCATCTTGGAATATAACGGTGCGCGGCGCGACGGTGCCCAGTAACTTCTGGTATTGAAGATAGAGCGTCGGTCCTTGAATGTGATGAGCATCCCAATCACAAACATGTTACCCGAAGCTGACTAGTGCGGCTTACATAACGGGTAGCAGGGGTGGACGTCGCAGCCATCTTGCCAAGACACTGCAGACACCGTCACTCAACCGAACGCCGCTTGTATTGTGCACTGTGTTGTGATGGAAGGACACTTTCTGCAAGAACAATCTGTCACATTGAAGACTTCGATTGATGCGCTCTTGGCGTACGTTGCAATAACCTTTGACACCGGGTGCTTGGTGCCCCATATGCTTCTCATTGTATCGCTGGATGTGTTTGCCCTTGTCCTGTCGTGACGCTCTCTGCCTCCGCTCCCAGCCTCCCCCCTTAGCTAATCGCCACAGTGCCCTCCACTTCATTGATACCATTTTCGAGCCCCCTCGCCCTCTTGGATCCAGTGGGACGGTATTGGGCCTAACGGCCACCAGTTGTAAATGGTTGTTCATGAGGTTTTTGGCAGTACTGATTGATCGTGGGCATCACTCGGCGTGCATCGTCTCCCACTGATGATATCTGCGACTGTGTTTGCGTCGGCGGTGCTAAAGGTGGCACCCTGCTCAACAAATTGCCGCAGGCCCTTTGAGAAATGCGTCAATGCCTAATATGGATGACAAGGTGAAACCCTCAAGAACGATCCACTGCCTCAGACACAGGACTCCTCACCAACGACATTGTCAAGTCTGCTGGGAAAGACTTGTAGCATATTGCAACCGTGGACAAGACTTGCTCATCTCCGCAAGGGATCTCTTGAAATGGTACTGATGCTCGCAATCAGACTCATGCTCGAGGGCAGCTATAATCTCTGCGAAAGACCGTCCGAGTCCGAGCGACTCGAGCTAGGGTCCGCATATCGTGAAAGCGACAGAAAAGCCTTTATTACCTATAGCAGGCGGAACGAACCCTGGCCATGATGCAGAACAATTGGTGGCATCGCTGTGCGCCGACCAGTTGCTGCTCATCTTGGTCAACACCGAATCTCCATTATATGTACTGATACGGCCCTCCTCACCAATCAGCAACGTGTTTCCTCTCCGGGTCCTTCACATCCTTTCCCGCTTCCTCTTTGATAACATCATCAAGCACCTTCACCAACCCCTCTACCTCCTCAGCTGTGTTATAGTGCAGCAAAGAACATCTGACCACGCCGTCATCTCCATCAGGAACCCCGAGCACATTCTCAACCAGCCTCTTGCTGTAAAAATGGCCACTCCGACAGCCGAAATCCGACCTCGCCTCGATGGCATCAATGACACCCAGCGAGCTCTGGCCCTTGATTCGGAAGCTGATCACCGGCACGCGCAGCTTCCTGTCCGAAGAAGGTTCACCGTATATTTTGATGATGGCGGGCTTCGAGCGCAGGTACGAGAGCAATATCTCCTGAATCTTCTCCTCCTGCGCGGCAATGGCGTCCCAGCCGACTTGTTGGATGTACTCGACAACCTTTGGAATCGACTGCACGCACTCATAATTGCCCGCTGCCAGCCCCAGCATCTCCTCCAATGTATTTCGTGTCTTGAAATAATGGCCCAGGCTCTGAAGTTCGTTCTGTGCCTTCTCGCTCGCGTACAGCATCGAAACATGCGGCCCATACACTTTGTACCACGAGAAGGAGTAGAAGTCCACTCCCAAGGCTTTGACGTCAATTGCCGCGTGCGGGGCATACGCCACGGCATCGACACAGAACAGTGTGTTCGGGTTCGTTTCATGAATCACCTTTGCTAGCGCTGCGATGTTCGTGACCGTGCCAAGGATGTTGCTCGTATGCGTGCAGCAAACCAGCCGTGTCTTATCCGTGAGCAGTTGTCTCAGATCTTCAGGTTCCAGCTTGGGATTTGAGTTCGTGTTCTTGCTGGGAATCCACCACTTCACGGTAAGGCCCTTCCACTCTGCTAGTTGGACCCAAGGCGCAAGGTTCGCTTCATGGTCGAGGTTCGAGAGGACGATCTCTGAGCCTGGCTCTATCTTCAACGCCACGGACAGATTGCGGAATAACTGAGTCGTCGACGGACCAAAGACGACCTCCCTAGGCGACGCATTGATGTACTTCGCGCCTGCGATGTGACCGCCATCGAACTTTTTGGTGGAGATCTGTGAGACGGGGTAGGAAGCACCGAGTTGCACGTTCGTGCGGGATAGATAGTCGGATATCGAGGTGATGACTGATTGAAGGACCTGGGAGCCTCCAGCGTTGTCCATGAAGACTTGTTTCTGGTCCAGGGCTGGAAATTGAGCCCGGATGGCAGATACCTCGAAGGTCGTTGACCCCATGATTCTCGATGGTTGAAACGGCCTGGGACTCAGCAATCGCGCTCAAACTTGTTTCTTTTCTGCTTTCCTTGGGAGAGTTGAAAGACTGTCACCTACCTCGAAATCTCTGTCCATTGCGAGCCACATTGTCACCATCATAGGGCGGGGAGTCCAATGTCACACTACGCTCGAGGAGGAAGGTCACGGCCAACTCCGCAACGTGGAGATGGATCTTCTCCGCCGAGCCTTACTGTATATGTAAGAGTACCTTGATCTCCACCTGTGAAGTCGTACCTCTATAATCGAACAGTAGTCTTCATGACCCCCATCGTGCTGCAACTGAGAGTGTGGCTGTACACCAACAGGTTCCCACTGCGGCGGGATGCACACAGCCGAATGATGCTGTGGATCAATCTTGGAGAACAGTCCGTGTCTTCCGGTTAGGCCATCAACGTCAGGCTGCCGGCTGACGAAGCATTCTCCCTGGGCGGGTTCTTGTCACCTGTTACCAGCGAGCCACAGATCTCGCAAGATGCAGCCGACTTCCAGCAGAAGCAGCATGCGCATACTGAAAGTGCCGTCATTAGTGAAAATGGCCCATTAGTAAACGCTTGTTTGAGTTCTGCCGAGAGGGTAGTTCACTTGTGCCAGACGACTGGGCAGCAGATGTATGGCTGTATATAAGGCTGAGCGACCGTTCTGTGTTCCTGCGGTCTTCAACATCAAAGTGAGACAGTTCTCCGACACTGAGCATTCGACACCGAGAGCAGGCCACCTCCAAGTTACCATCCCGTGCTAAGACGAGCCCACCATGCCTTCACAGGAGACACTCAATTCTACCGGCCAGCTCGTCCTTCACGCCACGCTTCGCATTGACGCGTCACAAATTCCGGCCTTCCTAGCTGCACTTCGCCCGGCCTGGGAATCCTGCATCCATGAGCCTGAATGCCTCTTCTTCGACGTCTCCCACTCACCCACAGAGCCGGGAACGTTCCGCTTCGTGGAAGTCTGGCAGGGTGATCAGAAGTGGTTTGAAGACGTTCAGGCGAAGAAGGAATATTATGTCCCGTATCTGGAGGTGACGAGGCCTATGTGGGTGGGAGACCGGGAGTTGGTGTTCACTGAGAGGGTGGAGGGGTGGAGTTTCGCCAACGAGGCGTACCTGGAGGGGACTATTAAGCAGTAGTGGCGGCGTCGCAAGTCGAACGTGGGTGGCAATGAGGAATGTCAGGTGTTAGGATGATAGGATGCCTCTCTCGCCAAGGGTCTGTGGACGGTTCCACGCTGTGAAACGCAGCACATTGAAGGGTCAGACGTGAAGATTCTGTTATCCATCAAACGTCTGAATGAAAGTCGAACACGATTTGGAAGGTAGCAGTGTCGTGGGGTTTAGCACTAAAGTCAATATACCGTGACGAATGCTCTGTGTTTGCGGCATATCTCGACACATGGTGAAAGCGAACCGATATCTTGGGGGAAGCAGTAGCAAGGACATATTGTCCCCGGTTCATTGACAGACCAACCTCAGCGGAGAGCCTGGCGATGGTGATAAGGAATTTGCAGTGGGCTACGACCTGGCGGGCTTCACTGGAATGAGATCTTTGCCATGGGGTGAAATCGATGAGTTGGAAGTCAAGTTCCAGTGAGTTCGGATTGAAGTTGCCGCAGTTGACTCCACCTTTAAAAGCGGCGGGGATAGATGCCAAGACGCCCAACAGCCCGGCGGATCGTCCTTGTGTCATGGTCGTGACATGTGATATTTGCTTCCTGCGCACTCGTGTTACTTTTCCAACCATTTGCTGCTACGTACATCACCACAACGTACCACTTGGTGCAGGTGTACGCAGTACAGTAGCAGGCGAGGAGTTGGGTTGGCAGCGCCACACTTACGAACGACTTCCTCTCCAAAATCATTTCGACTGGACTGAGTCTCAGCTCATTTACCAGCGTTCCACCAGATTTGCCTGATGTGCCCTTTCCGCTCGCACAAACAACCGGATTACCTGATCACCTGGCAATTGTTTGCGCATCTTGGCTCTGTCATGTAGCGTGCTCATCTGTTTCATCTGTTGGCCTCACTCTTACGACGCTTCTACGACTCGGTTTCGAAGCGCCGCGGCCTGAGTCACGATGGAGAGGTTCTCGCAGTTTCGTGATAAAGGTGTGTGTTTCGACGTGGATGCTTTCCATTATACTGATTGCACCTTTTCAGGCTCGGGTATCGCGCCATTTCTTCCCATACCCACCGAGTCTGCGGGCATTGCGCTCCCCTTCCACATCTTCTTGTACATCTGTCGCGTGCCGCTTCTCATCATCTTCGCCCTGTCATACTTCGTCATCCTACAGTGGATGCCCCTCGGCATCTTGGGAAGGAAAGCTTCGTTGTGGTGCATCTTGGGGATTCCGGGAATATGGTGGATAGATCTACAAATCGACGGGGTTAAGAAAGGGTATGGCGAGACAGAGAGTCTCACCGCACGTGCTGATGGTTTGCAGGTCGTTGGCCCAGAACAAGAGCAAGATCCCTCAAGAAGGCTCCATCATCACATCTTCAAGCGCGTCACCTATCGACCCTCTATACCTGGCCGCCATCTTCGACCCCATCTTCGCAGCGACGTATCCATACACGAGACTTGTTGAACCCATATCCTTGCTAACAGCCATCTACCGGACATTCGCTCACCCAAAGCTGGAACCAGCATATAATGCCAAGTTGGTCGGCCTTGAAACGTTGATCAAGCAGAACCCTGAGCGCGTTATCGCCGTGTTTCCCGAATGTACGACGACGAACGGAAGAGGGATCCTACCTCTAAGTCCGAGTCTGGTGACCATTCCCCCACGTACGAAAGTTTTTCCAGTTAGTCTTCGATACACACCTCCAGATGTCACGACCCCCATTCCTCACTGCTATCTTTCCTTCCTATGGAATCTGTGCAGCAAGCCGTCGCATTGTATTCGCATTCGCATAGCAGAGGCCGTGTACAATACCTCGAAATCATCGTCAGCAAAGGAGCCCATGGTGGCCGCGAAAGTATCGTCATCCTACACTACAAATTATTTCGACACAATAGGGTCAGATAACGGGGTCAGCAGCGATGCAGACACTCTCGTCGGTAGCGGGGGTGAGGAACAAGAACCTTCCATGACTAAAGACGAAAAAGCATTTCTGGACAAGGTCGCTGAAGCGCTGGCCAGACTGGGGCGTGTCAAGAGAGTCGGTCTTGGGGTCAAGGAGAAGATCGAATTCATTGAAATGTGGGCAACGTCAAGAAGTAGAAGATGACCATGCGCATATTGGTCGTTGAGGACCACCTGAAACCCGAGGCTAAGACGAGTGTACACGGCCTTGACCTGGGCGCGGAGGCTACCTGCAGACGAGACGAGTAACACACGCGCACGCTACCTGGAGCACAAAGGGCACATGTTGTCCCGGCCTGGATGGAATGTCAAATTCTGCTTCAGACTGTACACCCAAGCGGATGCAGTCCCTACGATATCACCAGTGGCACGCTGCGTTGCCTCTCTCCCAGCCCGGGACGGTGGCCATGATGCTCGATCAAACGGCGCTCTGTCCTCGGATGCATCAGTATCCACTGTTTCTTGGACAGAAAAGGTCTTGGTTGTACGGAGTACGGGCGCCGACCGAACAAACACGTAGGTTCATCCGGCAACGGTCGCAGACCAGTTCTTCATCTTCACTAGGTGCAGGACAATCCATATCCTTTTCATCCTTAGCTCGCATCTTTTCGCGACGAGCGGATAATTGTTCCTGGGCTGTCTTTGGCGGACACTCCCTCCTGACGCCAATGATTGATATATGTCCAATCACGGAAGTTGCCATTGGTCGGCACCTCACCCTTCGAGATTCGCTTGCTGTGCTACGGTGACCCAGCTCGAGGTTCGGTGCCCACGGTGAAAAGTAATGACGAAACAATCAATTTCTGCAAACGTCGGACAAAGTATCCTCGGACAGCATATCCGGACAATACTCCTTGACCTCATCATGACATGCCACGCCACCATTAGGACAATTGTATATTATGCTGCAGGGCTCTCAGACAGTCAGCAAAATGGCGGAACGACCAGGTACACTACGTAGATCACATCACTAAGTCAACATGGGCAGCGTAAGTGGTTGCGGAGCCCTCAAGGAGCGGCGTCAGCTGATCAATCACCAGGCCTCTGAAGATGCCCCCGTCTACACCCTTGCCCAAGGCAGGCCCGTCCGGGACCCTACCTCGGCGGTAGTTCTTCGCGGGCCCAAAGTACGCGGTGGTGGCTTAGCCCTGCTGGAAGACACCCAACTCATCGAGACGTTGGCTCACTTCCCCCGAGAGAGGATTCCGGAACGGTTTGTAAGATCCCTAATGTCTACCAAGGCCCCGAGTTGACACTGTCGTCAGCGTCGTCCACGCAAAGGCTGCGGGAGCATGGGGTGAATTCGAATGCACAGCCGATGTGTCGGACTGGTGCTCAGTCAACTTCCTCAGCAAACCGGGCCAAAAGACCGAGGCTCTCGCTCGCATCTCGACCGTCGCAGGAGAGCGAGGCTCGTCCGACACGTTGCGAGACATCCGAGGGTTCGCGCTGAAGCTCAAGACCGAGGAAGGAAACTGGGACTTCGTCGGCAATGATCTGCCCGTCTTCTTTATTCGCGACCCGACCAAGTTCCCCAGCTTGAATCGCTCGCACAAGAGGCATCCTCAGACCGGCGTGGCCGACAGCTCCATGTTCTGGGACTTCCACAACAACCACCAGGAAGGGACGCATTGTCTTATGCAACTCTTCGGCCCACGTGGAGTGCCGGCCTCGCTGCGCAACGTCAACGGCTTCGGCAACCACACCTTCAAATTCGGCAAACCCGAGAACGGGACGTTCAAGTATGTCAAGATCCACTTCAAGCCGGACGACGGGATCAAGACCCTTACGCAAGAAGAGGCCGTCCGCCTGGCCGGCGAGGAGCCCGACTATCATATCAAGGATCTTTTCAACGCGATCGAGAAAGGCGACTATCCCAGCTGGACAATGTACCTGCAGATCATGGACCCTAAGGAAGCCGAGACGTACCGATGGAATATCTTTGACATCACCAAGATCTGGCCACACAAGGACTATCCTCTCGTGCCCGTGGGGCGACTGACCCTGAACCGAAACCCGCAGAACCACTTCCAGGAGATCGAACTGGCGGCATTTTCACCCTCGAATATGGTTCCCGGCATCGGACCCAGTGCCGACACCATGCTGCACGCGAGAATGTTCTCCTACCCTGACGCGGCCCGGTACCGCGTCGGGCCAAACTATCAGCAATTGCCGCCCAACGCGCCGAAGAAGGCGTACTCGCCCTACCAGCGCGACGGGCCAATGCGGTTTGACGGCAACTACGGCAGTGATCCAGACTATGGTAAGCAGATGTCTCTGCACTTGAGGACTCCAGAAGATCCATTGCCCCCTTATCAGTCCTCCTATTTATCTGAAATTCTGACCCTGTGTTTTACCCCGACACCGCTAACCTGTGTGTGTGTGTGTGTGTGACACGCTCAGCGCGCTCCTCTTTCCGCAAGCTCAGATCCGGGCCCGGCGACGTCGCGCACGACGAATGGGTCGGGCGCGTGCACGCCTACTCGTCCGACGTCGAGGAAGAGGACTTTGAACAGCCGCACGACCTGTGGAAGTTGTTCAAGGAACAGGGCGAGGACAAGGTGTTTCTGCACAACCTCTCGGGCCACGTGGCCAAGGCGTTGCCCGAGGTCCAAGACAAGACGGTCGAGATGTGGAGACGGGTCGACGACGAGATTGCCGACCGGTTGAAAGAGGCGCTTGACCAGACGCACAAGGGCAAGGAAGCGGACCATTGCACGGCGCCGCCGACGCAGCGGGCTCTGGCTGCGAATCGGAAGTAATCGATGGACGAGTTGGCAGGTTATTAAGTGACGTTGAAGATGGATAGCATGGGCGCTGTAGACTAGACTTAGAGTCAAAATATCGAAACAGACAAGTTGGCAGGTTATTAAGTGATAATGAAGAATGGATAGAATGGGCGCACAGGATCAGAGACGTCGAGTCACATTATCAAGGGCTGTCAACAATCAATGTTCTCTTCTCCTTGTTGCCCGTAATGCGCGCTGCAGGAAAAATCCCGGATTTGTCCGTCCGACCGGATGCTTGTCGGAGCTGAAATCTACTACTAATACGTACGTACATAATTATATACATATGCCATAGGTGAGAAGGCGGTCTCGACTGGTCCAGCACCGATGCCAGTATGGGGTGCTGTAGGCAGCAAACCTCGTCCGGATATCTTGTCGTCGTCGCCTGTAAACGTAATGGGATCGATGGCCGTGGCCACGCATGACAATGACGGTGACAACGTATCATGGAGAAGTTCCCTCATAGGTCAAGAGAGAGATAGAGTGACAAGACGCACATCTTGTGCGGATGCGAATGGTGCAGTTGAAGCGCCAGCAATGCAAGGAACCGGCCGAGAAAAATGTCAACCACACCTACACCTGCCTTCGGTCCCACCGTCTGACCACGCTGCCCAGACAGACCTTGAGCAAGCCCTGGCCGGTCAAGCCCTCGTCACCGTCGTCTCCACTCCAAGGCACCGTGTCGACCATGTCGCGGATGTGGTATTCGCCCGACAGCGCGTCGTCGAGTTCCTGGAGCATGTCCCGGGCCTCGGGTTCGCGGCCGACCTGGAAGAACTGCACGCCGACCTGCCACGGCTCGGCGGCCATGGAGTCGAGCTTGCGCGCGGCCGAGACGATGACGCTCTCGACGTCGTCCGAGGGCACGCCGTCGGTGATGACGATCATGTTCAGCGGCTTGACCGTGGCGTCGTGGCCGTGCGCCTGCCGTTCCAGGCTGTCGGCCAGTTCGCTCAGGTAGGGTTTCAGGATCTGGTTGAGCCGCGTGCCCGTGGGCGTGCCGCCGAGGGGTCGCACGTTCTGGAACAGACTCTGCACCGCGCCCGTGGTCGTCAGGTTCGTGTATCCGCCGTGCGTGCTGTGCGGGTTCCGGTGGTTGAGGAAGTACACGTCGATGCCGTCCGGGTCGTGCGCCGTGCAGATCGGGGCAATGGCCGCCAGTGCCGACGACGTCTCGCGCCAGGAGCGGCCTGCCATGGACCCGGAATCGTCGATCAGGAAGATGGTGTCAAAGGTGCGCAGGAACGCGTAGGGTGAGTCGTCGCCCGTTTGCATCGTGCTGGCGAGATCGGCAGGGGAGAAGGGGACACGGCTGGCAGCATGGGCAGCGCTGGTGCTGGCAGGTGGTGAATATGGTGGCGGTGGCTCCGGTGCTGCCGGTCGACGAGTTGGCATCGTCGTGGTAAAAGGATTGTTTGTGTTCATGTTGTTTCGTGCCGCCGCGATGGGAGACTGTCGCTGCGAGGCATTGCTGCCGCCGCCGCCGCTCTTCTGCGATTTGTTTGAGAATTTCCTGAATAACCTGTCCATCTTGGAGTGAGGCAGTTGGTGGCAAGTGTCACAGCGCGAGAGGGTGAGTGTGGCCATTTTTGAAGGAGGGGTTGTTTGCTTGGTCGGTGAAGTGACGCGGCCTCGTACAGCAGAAGCGGCGATGGGTTAGAGAGTTTGCTCTGTTCGGTCAGATCAAGTCGACAGCTGGGGCTTTTACTTTGAGCTTCGACCACGCCGTTCAAGTCTTGTCAGTCTATTCGATCAAAGCAAGTAGCTACGCGAGGCGAGGGCATATATGTGTACATTTCTCCTCGGGCCGCATGGCCTCGAAGCGCGACCATCGTGGACACGCCGAACCCTTAGCTACCTCGTACAATGAAGTCTGCCAAGTAAGGCGGATTTTGAAGCTGGCAGTGAAGATCCGAAAGCGATTCATGGCTGATTTCATACGAGTAGATGATAACGGTTGTCCGCGGGGAGATTGCATCTGGCGGGCATTCCAGCAGATCTGCTCGTTTGGAAAGGACGTTGGGTGGCGGAATCGGGAGGAAGGCTGCGGTTAAGAACGCAGGGGCTCCAGCGCCAGCGCCAAAGCCAACGTACAGCAACGCACAGCCTCACACAGCGCCCACCAGCCAATCAGATGCGCTCTTGGCCGCGTCACCTGCCCAAAGCGCGGAGCCGTCCAGGCGGCCTCGGCTGCTCAGCCTCGCAAGCCCCACCTTTGACTCGTGACACAGCCCCTGTTCCCTCCTGAATCTCGGGCCGATGCAAGGCTTGCGGGCTCGTACTGTGTAAAGGGTCTGCTCTTTGACACAAGTACGGAGTACGAGTTCGCTTGTGAAGCAACCAAGGCTGGGCTGCAGTGGCAGCGGCAGATACGCGCCTTCTAGAAGGACTCGGCGTTGTACGAGCACACCACACCGCACCACCCGAAGCAGTATACGGAGTACTCATGGGACAATGGAAACCACGCGGGACCCTTGTCACCGCAGGGCCACACAGAGGCGTTCCATCATACTTGGAAGCAGATACCTTGGTCTCCTCTTCTATGGACTGCGTACTGTACTGTGTGTAAGAAGGCGCGTAGCGTGACTGGAGCACCATGATAGCCTGTCCCGGTCCACAAGTTTCAAGGCAGATTTGAGATCCCATGCGCCGACGCTCCATCAGACTCTGCCTGAGGCAGTGGGTCAGCATGGAGAAAGGTGCACAGCCGTGATCCCATCATCCATCGCTCAGACTTGGAAGCTAAAGGGGTGGGAGAGCGGAGAAGACACCGAACCAGTCTTCTGACAGCGTGATCCAGAGTGCGATCTAGAGCATATCACCAGAGAGTAGAATCACATGTCCAAATATGCCGGCAAAGCGTGCCGTGCGCGTGTATGTGGGTGCGTGCATTGACCGTGGTCGCTGAAGGATCGTCTCACGCCCGAAAGGACTGTCGAAACACGTCGTCTTCTACTACAGAATATCAGCACAATGGGCACGACCACTTCCAAGAGCACAATGTGACAGGACGGGAGAAGACACCAAGAAAATGCATGCACTCCGTATGCAACGCAGAATCCAGGCTGGTGAACACAAATGGGAACGCTATTCCTATGCACTCTGACATGGCACCCGCCAAACGCCTTGCTTGTATCTCATGATGCTACGCACAATCTGTTCATGGCTGATGTCAAGGGTCATACGCCGCTTCACCGCTGTCGTAGGGGCACGACAAATGCAACATGCACGCATATGATCAAACAAACAAGCTGTCCAACGCTCGGGCTATGCTAGCCAATGCCACCATGGTGCCTATCTGTGCCAACGCCCCGACCATCACGTTAATGCCGCTTGTATTTCTAAAACTTGTCAGTAATGGATAAAGCATCCCGGCATATCGACTTACTTCATCCATCCTCCGCAGATTCTGTCGGTCCAGCATATTGCCAGCGCCCATCAGTGTCTGCCCAACGGCCTTCGTGGCTCCAATCGCCGGCCGCAGGATGATAGTTGGGCTCTGTTTCAGGACGGCTGCAGCAGCACCTTTGGCGGAGCTGCTGGCCATGACCTCGCCGGGAACCGCCACAATGGCATCTTTTGCAATCAACAAATCCCGTTCCAGACTGGCATATGCCGACCTCAATCCCTGCTTGATGCCGATTGGTTGGTCCGCATACAGCGAAATCTGTTTGCGGCTCTCGTCGTCATCGTCCATATCGCCCCGCTCGTCGCGAGACACGAATATCTCTTCGGTGTTCTGCAGAATCTGTTGTGTACCAATTGCCATCTTCGCTCCGAGGTTGACCAGTTCAGTCGCCGTAGTCTTCGCAAAAGCCAGCGCCCCCTTCTGGATGCTTCGGACGAGTCTTCCGTCTTTGCGATACTCGCGAATGGGCACCGCGATAAGGTCTCGCACGCCGCTAGTCACGTCGACGAGAGGTCGGACAGGGGCCAAACCAGCCAGAACTCCAGGCAGCTGGTTGCGCTTGACGTCTGGTGTCCAGATACTGTTCAGCATGAGACCCAGACGCTCGAATCCGGAAACACCGTACAAGATCACTCGTCGTAGGACCATGTCAGCACGGTCAAGGACAATGAAATTCATAAACTCGGTTGTCCGGCCTGACCGGAGTGCGGCATAGTCCACTTTCTTGGGTTTGTAGTCGAGTCTGACCTGCACAGCATTGATCTCGGCTCGCTGCAAGAACGGTGGGCTTGATGGGTTACTGGCCGCGGGGACGCTGTCATCTTTGAACTCGAAGAAGCGGGTTAAGAAATCCAATGCATCTTGATCCACATGCAGTCTCAGTGGCAAGACTGTGACTTTCAGCACCATTTCCGAGGCTGACAAGTCCGCCACCGGCTTCACATTGAGTAGTTCAATGTGCACCATGTTGGCGCCGTGTTCGCGCTCGCCCGCATCTTGCATATACGTGACAAACTTCTTCCATGTCGATGTCGGGACATGATCGAAGATCTCCAACTTTTTCACACGGACATCAACCGAGCTTTGAACTTCGCTGCTGCCGGCAGGAAACGCCAAAAAGTCTGCTGAAATTCCCTCCAGCTCAAATGCCATCTTGTGGTGCTTGCTGCGGTGGAGCTTGAGCTTCTTCTGACGTGGTACGGTTCCCGATGTACGCCTAGACGTGGTCGCCGTGACTGTTGTCCCTGTAGCATAGCTGCCCGTCTCGCTCACCATGTCGTCAATATCGTGATTGATGGCGTTTGCCAGGTCGCGTGGATCTTTGTTTGCCGGAATGCCAATATAAATCGAGTTGAACAAGAAATCTCCAATGACAGACTCGTCCTCTTCCTCTGCTCCCGGAGCGCGGCTACTGCTTCGAGGACGTCTTGCCATAGCTTTGTTCTCAATCTCTTTCACAGCTTGTGAAATCGTGTCTCTAGTAGACTGCCAATCGTATCCATCGAACAGATTCCATATGACGTGAACATCCCGGATGCGGACCTTCAGGGGCGACCCTTCAAACATGGCGTCAGTTGCCAGGCCGTATGTGTTGTGAGTCGAATTCCAGCGATGTGCCGTGCCGCCCACGGAAGATTTGGGCACGAAGTGATCTGCTCTGAAGTCCAAGAGGCTGTGCATCATAACACTCTCGCTCATATCGCCAGCATCGGAGCCTGTAGCTCCTACTGGAGCTATATGGATGCTTTCGGTCATGGTCGAACGGCCGAGATCTGATTCGACGTGGCTTGCGGTCATTTCGTCGTCAGCATCATCAGCGTCGCCGTACATGCCCACGAAATCTTTGTCGTCCTCTTCACCATCGTAGTCCTCGACGGCATCAGCCGCAGACCCAGCAGTGACCGTATGATGTGAAGCTTGAAGACCGAGCTCGGGACCTGGCTCCGAAACGAAAGCGTTACCAGTAAACGAAGCTAGCATGTCCTGGATCGGAATGACTTCGGTTCTGTATTTCGCGATCTTTGACGGTGGCGACGGAGGAGCCAGTCCACCCAGAATCTGAATCATAGTCTGGGTGGAGTCGGCGCAAGTCTCGAGAAACAGCAGGTTGTTGCGGAATTCAATGTCCAATCTGCTTTCAGAAGTGACTTTGTCCTCGATGACATGGATGATGGCAGAGGCAGATGACATCGAACCGACAGGGACGAAGCCAGCCTTCGTCAGCTGCTGAACTTGGTCGTTCTCCTCGAAATACAGCTTGTGGTCGACATTTCCTGATTCGAGCCCAATGGTAGAGACATCGTTGATGATCAGAAGAGAAGCCTTTTTGATGTCGAGTGTATCAGTCGAACCCCTCTTTTGGTTCTCATGCCGTAAGACGGCATCGGTCAATACGAAAAGACCTTTTGCTGGGCTTCGATCCGGATTGAGTGCGATTGCCGAGTCTCTGAACACAAGTGAAATCCTGATCTTTCGGGCCAGTGAATTCGCTTCGACACTGCCAGCTGTGGACAAGGATGGACTGGAGGGAGGCGAAGCAATGGTCCGCTTGTCTACCGTCTCCTCTGTCTTCAGACGCTCGGCAAGTGCCGTAAGGGCAACAACTATAGGTACCTTGTACTCGATGCAGGTGTTCGAGAGTTTCAGTCGGACGGTTGGATCCATCTCATCCGCAATGAAGCGGCACATGAACATGGGCGGGCCCAGGACAGTCTTGCTCTGGGGAAGCACATCGCCTATGAGGACATCATCCTTGCGTGCTAGCGTCCAAGCTGCAATCTGGGCCGCAGCAAGTGAAGGAACATTGATGTGAGCCCCTTCTGCAAGTTCGACCTGGAGTCTGAGCGGACCAAACTCTTCGTCAACATCGAAGCGGACGTCGAGCTTCTTGAGCAGCGCGAAGGTAAGTACACCAGGACGATCATCTTCAGGCAGATACTTGGTGACTGATGAAAGCTTCGAGATTTCGTCCGCAACCTTGGTAAGATGCGGGATCCAGCGAAGTCCCAGGGCTCCAGCCTGTAGGTCACCAACAGTTAGGCGCAACACGCCACCTTTCCGACGTTGCCTCAACAGTGTATCAACCATGATGTCGTCATCCTGGTCATACTTGTCGCTCGAA